CACCGACGCCCTGGCATGCCCAGCCCGGGCCACCCAACTCCGCGGGCTGATGCAGTTGTTGTAACCCGCTATGGCCGGCGGCATGAAACACGATGTCCCGCGAGTCGTTCTTGACTCTGCTCCCGTTTGTATGCCACTTCTACGGGCGTGCATGACAAATTATTGGTGGGATGATGAGGGGAGGTGCACGGAGAATGTTGCGAGCAGGGGGCTCGTATGCCATCGGACAACATGCCGCGTTGCGCGGACGACCTTTACGTTTTCACGACCTTGCCCCGCGCCAGGGCCGCGCGCGACGTCCTGGCTGGCGAGGTCGAGGCCGTTTGCGGCATAGCAAGTAACCATGGCAAAGGATGTTCGGATGGTTCGATGCAGCTCCGCTTGAAGTGGATGAACTTGGTACGGTTGTGTGGCAAGGTAACAAAGCGCGACACCAGGTACTCGGCGTTCATCGGGCATCTGGCTTTTGTCCAGGCGTGGGCGGCCGGGCGGCTGCAGGAGGAAAAACGTGTACTCCCCGACCTGTGCCTTGCACAAGCTTTCCCTGACGGCCGTCGCAGGGTATGCAAGCTCTGTGGGAACGTTCCTCTCCTTCGTCGCCAAGCACGACCTTTGTGCCAGGCTGGGGTCGAGAGGGGCCTGGCCCCCATGAGTGGCACCACGCGACGTGTATCCGCACCTCTTACTTTCGCGAACGCGTGTTGTTGCCGAACCTGACCCAGCATCACGTCGATGGTATTAGGCAGGGCCCCAAGCCGGGGGCTTGGCTGATGCTCCCGAAGCCATGCAAATCGCGAAAAAGACGGCTGACAGCCAGTCGTAAAAAGGTGCGCGCAAAAAAGGCATCGCGCTGCGCCGACGCTTGCACCTCGCTTTGCCGCTCACCTGTATGCGCACGAGGCTGTGTGCACGTCGGGCAAGAAGTCGTGGAGCACCTTGTGATTGAATCACCGGCCTAACCCCTTTGGAATGGGGCTCAGGTCGCAGTTGACACGACGCTGTTCTCTGCGCTGACATCCCAATCAGGTCCCTTGCGAGTTCGTGGCAGCACTGCTGGGGCAGCACTCACGGAAGCACGCAGGGCCAAAGAGCGCACTTACCCTGAACTGGTGTGGTCACGCCGTTGCCACCTCACAGTCCTCGGCATTGAAGCCAGGGGCCGCTGGGGCCAGGAGGCGACAGCTCGTCCGCTGCAGGGCCCGAGCGTTGCCATTGCCCAGCCATGCGGCCTACACGTCCGCCCTCGCACTACGGTGGTCCGCCCTGCTGTCATTCGCGGCTGCCCGCTTCGCCGCCAGCATCCTCGCCATGCCCCTGGCCTCCAATCTCGATGGCGAGCTGCCCGCCAGCGACCTTCTTGCCGACTCGTCCGTCGCCGCCCCGTCCTGCCCGCATGCCGTGAAACGTCAGGGAGAAAGGGCTCTTTTTGTGTGGCCCGAGCTGTGCATCGGTCGAAACGCTGGGACGCGGTTGCAAAAAGGTGCGCAGGAAAGAAAGGACAAAAATCAAAAAAGGGGGCCGCTGGACGGGTCTCGTCTCGTCTCCCTGGCGGCGCTGCGGGCGCATGCAGCCACTCTGCTGGAGTTGCCGGCATGCCCTGTCCACCCCAGCGACGGCGCCGAGGTGCCCATCGGTGACCTGCTGGTGGAGTCGCTGTGGCTGCCGACCGGACCCCAGTCGAGCAGATGTAAGACAGGTGTTTTTTTTGTTTTCGCTTTCGCGCGTTCGGGTCCACGTGAAACATTACAAGCGTCAGACTGTTCGATCTATACATTCGCCAAGCTGTGTACGTACTGGCTTGCAGCGGGCGGCCAATTTGCTGTTTCAGCAATATGAGTATGAGACCACGTATGCACCGCTGGAAAATTACAAGCTGCAAAACTGCGGAGTCGATCATCCCACTTCGTTAGCGGGCGACCGGGTCGACGATGTAGCTGTAAAGCAAAATTTGCTTGCCAGCGAAGTTGTCCTGACGTCGTGCAAGCTGGCGAGACCAGGTGTCCACAAGGTGTATGTGTAACGCTGCAGTCAGTCTGTGTTTCATCTGACTCATAGTGCTGTGCCAATCTTCGTTTGCAACTCGCACCCAGCCAACCACAGAGCGAAGCATTCGTCGTTGCAATGCATCCAGTGCATGAATTTGTGACAGAGTCAACGGCAATACGTGTAATCCAAACAGAACGGTTGGAGTCAATATTGTATCGAATTTTTTTTTCGGACTTTTACGCCTGCTGATCCGTTCGGTTGGCTAAGCTGTTCCTAAACTACCCGGGCTGTAGCTATGCCCGCAGTGGCAGCCGGCTTGGGTCGGGCGGCCCAGGCTCCAGGAGGCGGTCAAGCGGTGGGGCAGGCTCGTCGGCCGCCTTGCCCAGCCGGATGCGGCCGCTCGGCGCCCTGTTGGTGGCTCGCGGCATGCGCGGATGCGGACCATGTCGCGCATGAATCGCAGGGCCCCGCCATTCCAGCGACCCCCGACCTCCGAGCCGAGCACGACGAGCCGCTGGGGCCCGCCGCCCGTGAGCTCTGGGTAGGCCGCCTGTTTGCGTCGTTCAGCAACGCGGAGCGCCGCCCCATCCGTGTCGGCGGCGCATGGTTGCGGCTGCCCCGTGCGCGTCAAGGGCGACACGAGGGTAGCGTCGCAGCACAGCGCGATGCCCATGGGCGTGGCCCCGTAAACCAGCATGTCCAGCCGCCGGCGGTCATCTGCTGCGACTCCTGGTGCCGAGGTGTGTCCCAACCATTGTTGGGGCACCACTTGTCCCTCGGGCCCGACTGCTTCCCGGGCGATTCAATCTCAATGCGATGGACACATGTTTGTTTGTAAGAATATGACGGTGTTTCCGAAACTTAAAAAAAAACTTTGCCCATCCCATTTGGAACCTATGTTTGAGTTCTGTCTGAGTGCGGCATCGAGGATCTGCACTGATATGTCGTCCCAAGTATTTGTGAACGTCGCCTGCCATCAATACCTCGACCATGTCGTCGCTAACATTGATGTACATGGGTCCGTCTATGTGGGCTGTAGTAATGATTCGGCTTTTCGATGCATTCAATGCATTCAAATGCAAACCGATCTTTCCAAGTTCTTGTACGAGGCATTCGATCATACATACAAGCTGTTTCCACTGTCGGAAAGCGTGCTCCAAGCCAGCGTTGAATAAAGCGGGCGACATAACATCTCCCTGTTTCACCCCGCGTTGGATGTCAAATGGGGAACCCGTTTGCACTGATCCAGATTGTGAGCGGTACAAAGGTGCACTGAAAAAAAAGGGTGCGGGAAGACAATCTTGTAGCTAACGAACTCATCCGCGGGATTGGCCCCGCCTAGCTCGACCAAGGACTTTTTCAGTTTGCCGGCAACGCCATCCAACCAGCATGAAAAAGAATCCCTGCGGTCACACGGTCAAAGTTTCAAAAAACAAACCAAAATCTTCTAACACCTTTTTATCACAACACATGCAGCTCCGCATCGGATTCAGCTATGTATTCTTTTTGGCACTTATGGATGGTGAACGCTGAACTTAGTTCTTGATTTTTATGCAATGGTGAAATACGGTGAACGCGTGGCAGGACAAATCATTGTAAAGATGTGACCACGCCGGGAGATCCTTGTGTGGGCAAGTGCCTGTACAGGTGGACGGTCTGGCCGCAACTTGGGCGTTCGACTACCTAGAGGACCCCCATATGGCTAGAATGTCTCCCTGCCAGCTTACATCCGCCGCGAGGCGAATGTGCGCGGCCAATTTGGCTCATGTAGCATATATACATATTTTACGCACATATATAAATAGTACAGGTATGTTGGGGTCTTTGACGATGGAAAAAACGTGCGCGCAAAAACACAAAGAAAGCATCTCATCGTCATCACCGCAAACTTTTTTTTGGCACGCTGCCGCCTTGCATCACAGCGTGCGCCCGACGCTGGGCAGCCATGCGGTTTTTTATTTTTTACTTCTTCCTCACGCACCTTTTTACTCGCGGGGAGTCTGCTCTCTTCTTGCTGCTGCGGTGTACCTTGTACGCGTGCCTTGCATCTGTGGGGTCAGCCGAGCTCCCCCGCTCGAACAAAGCCGCCGTTCATGCTTGTCGTGAGGACGCGGCCATCGTGGCAACGTTCTCCTGCGTCACCGGAACCTGTCGCGAGTCACGAGGCGCAGACACCTCACCTGGTTTTGCCTTGGACTTGGCAAGGGCTTGCCGCCAGCGCCTCTTTCAGCTGGTGTTATCAGGTAACTCCGCGAAGCAAACGAAAAACAAAACAAAAAATCGTGGCACAGAAACTATCAATTACCGATTTTCTTGCCGCCAGGAGATGTCACAAGGAAAATGTTTTCCATTCCGGCGCGCCGAACGCTACACACTCAATGTGCCTGTGCAACCCTGCACGTAACAAAGTCCCTGAGCGTCTAGGCCATGACTCTCTGGACAGCCGGTTTCGCGTGGTGGGCGACGTGGGAAATATGCGGCCGTTTACGCTGCTGCGGGCGTGGCCCGCTCCCCGACCACCTGCTTATCCATGCGTCCCCACCATCTAAGTTTCCCGCAGCCCCCGACATGGGAGGCTTTTGGGAGGCAGACCACCAAGTAACCGGCGAATTTGCACTTGCCCTAGCAGCCTGTTGCGATCCTTTGCGGTTGCATTGTGTTGGTTACGTTTTTTGTTTTGCGTGGTTCTGGCTTGAAAAGTTATCTCGGATTACAGTGGAGATTTGCGAGCAAAGCATGGAACAGCATGTCGTTGCGTTGGTTCGTGGGTTCGGGCCGTGTTGTGGCTCGGGCTGTTGGCCTCATGGTGGAAAATGCAAAGCCTGCATGTTAGGCCCTGCTTCTGTTCGGCTCTGAGGCAATGTTTGCAAAGCGAGGGACCAGCAAAAATCCAAGGTTTGAATGGCGGTTCTTTAGAGAAAAACTCGAAACTAAAATAACTAAACCAATCCACACAGTCCTCTTTCAAGGTTGCGAGTTGCAAATAACAATAAGTAAAAGTCACCATCCGCAGCATGGCCGTGGCACTGCGCGCACCAGTGCAAGGACTTCGGAAGCGTTTCCTGGTCTTCGTGGCCGCTGTCGCTGCCCTGGTGCAAGCTTGTGGCGTGTGCCCAAATTTTTCAGTACCAGGTCTGGGCAGTACCGCCCAAGACATCATAAGCATGACTTTCAAAGTCGGCAGAGAAGTGGAGAGGAGCTCCGAGTTTCCACGGCACGGCCTGGCGGATGCCTTCCGTTGGGCCGTGGCCGTGACGCAGACTGATGCCACTGCTCTCGGATTGGGTTGTGGTTCGTGTGGATATCCGCCACAGCCGGCAGAAATTCGCAAAATTCTTGCTTTGACCAAGGAGCTTGAAGAAAAAATGCAGTTGCTGGCAGCAGGAGTGGCGGAGGTTCAGCTGATGCTGTCCCAAAACCAGGAAAACTTGGGCTTTCAAGAGAAGGTGCAGCTGAAGATCATCCAGCGATGGCTGAAGCATGGTCTTGGTGAAGATGTTGAAGGTATGAAGAAGCGCTTGCAGCATGAATCAGGCATGTTGCAGTTCTATCACAAAGAGTTGGTGGCAGAGCAGGCCAAATCTCGTTGAGAAGAGCAAGAGGTCGTAGCTGTAACCGGAAACCGGTGCACTACACGGTTGCAGCTTCTAAGTCGCCGGGGTTCGTTTGAAATGAGCCACAGCCTTGGTTCCAAGTGACGCTTTGAGATTGCAGAATGGTGCGAAGATGACCACGGGCTGCCGGCGCAGCAAGGGCGAAAGGGTAAAAAAATGTAAAAAACAGGTTCTTGCACGAGGTTGTGACGTGACAACGAGGCCGGAGGGCCGAAACTCAAGTGCCGCAGTTTATGATGGGTTCCAATACTACATACACACTACGGGCTGAACCCGACACTGCGGCTGTAACCTTGGTACCTCACCAGCTTGCCTCACGAGCTTGCCCGTGTCATTTATGCTGCTTTGCATTATAAGGGTTTCAGCAAGACAGCCGGGGACAGCACATTTCGAATGGATTTAGTTGGTGCCAAGTTGGCTTTCGCAACAGCATGGTGGACAGAATTGCTGCAGTGGGAAGGGAGGAATGTTGGGTTCCGAAGAGTATCGGTCAATTCTGGGTTCCAGCGTGGGGAGGAAAACCGTGCGCAAATCTGCGAACGTTGTGCTCAAGTCAGGCAGAATGCACAGATCGCCATTCGCCGAATGGCCTGTAGCCATAGTGATTCACTACCAAGTGCTTAGGAACCCCCCCAAAAATAGGCAATATTCTTCCTTGTAAGGGTACTATAGGGATTCTTAATTTTCATTTTTTGGGGGCTCTTAAGCAAAGAGTAGTTCAGAGTAGCAGGAGGGTTGTGTCTGTTGAGCAACCATGCCGGAGGGCGACATGGATGTGCCCACTCTGGGCGTGATGAGTCTATGCGGAGGCCACAGCCACAACGGCATTCCGTGTACGGGGGCAACCGAAAGGGAGAGGAAACCAACCCCAACAGTCACCAGAAATTTCACCCTGAACCAACCAGCAAACAACAGGAACTCAAAACTTCTTTTTGCTACCAGGTGCATGGCCCAGTCTTGAGCCATGAAGATCAGCAGGTACATTGACCCTTCAACTTCCAACACCAACTCCTTTCTACAATACCAACTGCAGCTCCGCACTCCCCCTGTCCTAGGATTTCCTAGGACACATTGGAGGTGCAGATCTTTGGCCAAAAACTGCCACTAGGGCAGCAGCCAGCTGCTTGAAATGCACAATATGGTTTTACGTCATCCAGGACGAATTTATAGCTCATTGGCTAAACCCACTAACCACAGAGAATCTTTTTCACCATGATCCTCTTGTCATTGAAGACTCTTCGGCCTTCTTCACCACGAACCGTGGTCTTCGCTACGCAAAAAGCGACTGACTTCTACTATCAGGGATTTCCATACCCTTAATAGTAACCACCGCATTTTCAGCACATTGGCTGTTCTAGCGCACCTGTCTTCAGAAAGAGAAAAACCATCCCTTCATCCATACCATCCAGTCACTTCTTCTTCCGATGGGTATCGATACTGAGGTGAAGTCGCAGCAGAACATACTCTAGGTCCGACACTGTAAGAACAGGATCCTGCACGCACCTTTGAATTGAGGATACCAATCCTTCTCTCTTCGCGTCCTCAATCGCTTGGCAAGATTGACCCAGCTCTGCATCCACAGTGATAGACGCTTGCGCATCCACATCAGAGGAACGATCCTTTTCCTCAGGACCTTTCACCACTACCACCTCTTCCTTCTTGGGGCTTTGACTTTTCTCCTTCTTCTTCGTCTTTCCCACGACGCTTGACTTTGTGCGCATTTTCGAGGCTTTTTCCCCTGCAGAGACCACCGCATTGGATGATGATCCACCCTTCTCAATGTTCGCCGGCATCTTCTTCGGCTTTGGAACCATGAGAGTATAAGGATCCTCGATAGCTGCAGTTTTCCTCTTCTTTTTGACCTTTTTCACCTCTTCCTCAACGGCAACATCCGTCTCCGAAGTCTCAACCGCCTCCTTTTCGGCAGGAATATCCTTGCTGGACTCCCTTTCTAGGGACCTCTTTTTGCCCCTTTTGGAATCTCTCTCTTCTTCCACGTTGGCTCGCTCGAACCAGATCCTCAGGTCATTGACCCATTCTTCCACCTCCGCCAGCGAAACCTCATACGACTTCACTATTTCGTGAAGTTCCAGCAAGGACAGCATACCAGTGGTCCACGAACACCATTCTCTATCCATCTGGTCAACGTCTCCCTTGAATTTCAGGAGTTTGAACAGTGGATCCGCCTCTGCACGAGCCAAATCTGACTTGCCATTGGACATAAATGAAATCGCCTCCATCAACAGTTCCACCATTTTGGTATCATCGTCGTAAACCATGAAATCCTCCTCACCATCATCGAACCGTTCAGGAGAGATCTCCTTTTCTCCACCTTTTGCACCAGAACTTCTCCTTGGACCATCCCTTGGGGGCGTCCTTGGAGACCTTGGCCTCTGTTCGTCCAGCGGATCACCATGCTCAAAGACACACTTGTCCCCATAACGACACTTCCCAGACTGAGCAAACTGGATACACCTTACACCAGTTGCATCATGTGAGAACTTACACTCCTTTCCAGAGAAGCAGTGTCTCCCAGCCACATAGTACTTGCACCAATACGATTGCAGCACCACATCATCTTCTGAATGGATGAATTTGCAGTGTTCACCAAATTTGCAGCGATCTTTTCCCCTGCTGAACCAATAGCAGAAGCCTTTCTTCCTCTTCTCCAAGCGCTCCGCCTCGTACCGGTCCATAGGGCGATTCTGCTCTACATGAACATTGCCACGTACCTGAGAACTGCTCCCTTCACCCAAGGTGCTATCAGTATTTGATGCTTGAAGTACAGCTGGAAAACCTGGCCTTGGTCCTACCACCTTCATGATTGGTTTTCCGCCAGCTCCTGAGCCACGCTGAGACGATCCAAAAACATTGAATATTTTCACGAAGGCCTTTCTAGTGCCGATCTTCTGCACCCTTTTGATTGGATGTTTCATTGCTCCAACTTTGCATCCAGATACATTCAAACGACACAACCTCCTATACCCAGCTCTATACCCCTTTTTCCAAAGAGCCATAAGAATTCTAGAGGCAGTAACATTCTCCACCTCTACCTTTTCCAACTGTCCCTCACTTTCCGGAACAAACCCATCCAACCCATCCATATCTGAAGACCTTTCCATCTTTTTTGACACCACTTCGTCGAGGTAGTCTTCAGAGATCCAGGGTAAGTTCCTCTTAGAGGAAAGATCGTCACCATTGTCTGGTCCTTCACCAGGATACCCCTTTGCGCTGTCAAAGATCTTACCAATAGTGCGGTCCTGCATAGAAAAATCCCAGTTGGAAGCAACGCGAGAGTACACTGACCACAAGAACATCCTTGTGCCAGCCAATCTTGACGACCCACTGGATGTCTCCTCTTCTGGAGAAACTTCTGGCGCTTTGCCATCCCTTCCAGTGTCACCAGTTGTCTCACCTCCAGCATCTTCAATGGGAATAAGGGATTCATTGTTCCCTTGATCAAGTACCGCATCTTCCTGTCCAAGAATTTCCAGCACCGCTGTTGAAGGATCCACTTCTTCATCAGCATCGTCGTCCATCCTTTTCCAGAGAACCTCCAATTGATCAGCACATGTCGCCGCCTGAAGGAACTCCATCATTTGAGCCTTCCCGCGCTGCCAGAGAAATTCTGAATTCACCACTGACCCTTGGCCTCCTAGGGTAAGGAACGGAGCAACCAATTTGGCTACCCTCGCCATAAGTTCGACGTGAACTTCCATGCCTGGACTACGGCTCCAATCGTAGGCAATTGCCTCCATAGCAGTTCCAAACTTATCAGTATTTCTGAATTCCCCTTCCAGACCAGGAGACAGCAATGCACCCATCACCGAGAGAGGATAATTTCCCACCACTGGCAAGCACGGATTGTCATGGAACGAATGATGCAAATCACCATAATATCCTTGATCTCTCCTTTGAAAAAGGAGTGTCCCAGTCCCTAGCTGGGCATTCAATTCATCCACTTGAGCCATTTCAGCACATATCCTCTGTGCCGCAGTCGCTATTGCCGGCCAGATGGTACGATCGGTCAAACCGCGACGCATAACCCAATCAGTTGTTGGCGACTGAATCAGCGTTCGTGGATCATACACCATAACCACCATTGTACCATCATCCATTAACTGATCAGCATCGTCCTCCAGTGCCAGGTTCAAATCCTGTTCACTTGCACCTTCGGATGACATGCTAATAACCAAATTTCGATCCATCTTATTGGACCCCTTCTGACAGTCCCTTTGCCCCACAGGCAACTTGCCGACAGCAACCTTCCAATAAATCCGATTCAGAAGGCCTTTAGTAAGCAATTGCTGAGGGTCCTTCTTCACCGGACGAACATCCAATGTCTTCGCACCATCACCACGGAGTTCATTGCTCCCACCTTCTCCTTCTTTTTGGTCAGTCTCCTCGCCAGAAATTTGCACTGCTCCTTCCAGCGCCGTCTCCTGTCCAGCCACTTCTTGCCCAGGAAGAACTTGAGCGCTTTCAGATACATTCACCTGTCCAGCAACACCTTGCCCAGGTAAAACCTCATCCGTGGAGCCCACCGCCAGCGAACCAACTATAACTGAGCCATCCCTTGCTCTTTTTTGAGACTGTTCAGTTCGACGAGAAGGTTGTGGTAGCGAAAAAACTTGAGAAGTCACTTCTTGGCGGGTCTCCCCCCGCGACGCTTTGTCGCGCCCTTCGCCAAGGTGAACCGATTTTTTCTGCCCATCATTGGGGCTTGAAGAACCAACCATCGGAACATTGCCACGAATCGCAGTTCTCTGTGAATCCCTTTCTCGCAAAAAGATTTCCCTCATGCGTCGCGCGGCATTGGTCTCTTCCTCGCTTGAATCGCCTGAGGAATCGGCATAAGAGACCAAAGCCTCTGCCTGATCATCATCATCCACCACATCTGCCCACGCTCTGCTGAACCGATACGACAACCCACCACGAGGCTTCAGTTCCAGTGGTTTTGGCTTTTCCACCACCTC